ATTAGCATAAAATAAAAATGCTTTAAATAGCCAATCTATTTGAAGGTGGTAACACTACTCCAGCAAAGCAAGAGATTCAATGCTCTAATGCGCATTGACCTTTAGCACTGCACTACGTAGAGTTACGCAGAATCGCCCACGTGAAAAGTCTATACACACATAACACACAAATGCACGCAATAAAGACGATGTGGCTGATCGGCAAGTTTGACAGTAGACTCAAGATTTGAATTTTTAAATTATTCTTTCTAACATCGGTAGTTGAACAATTGTATTTTACTGCTATTTAGGTTTCATCAATTGTTACTAAAGTACCGATTTTGAGGGATATCAGTTGAGTTTTGTACAGTGGTGTCTGAAATATTGAGAATCAATAGCACAGCTTTTAATACACAGCCAGGATAGTAATGCAGCTATGTGTGGGTTACTCTACTTGTTCTGAAACTTGAAAGAGTTCGATTTGTCGACCTAGTCTAGACCACCAGCAAAGCATAGAGAGTCAATGCTAATGGGTATCGACCTCTTCTAGCGCTGCAAATGCATATTGACCTCTAGTGCTGCAAACATGCTAATAGGCAGTGATTGCACACACGAATAGTCAATACACACACAACACACAAATGCATGCAATAAAGCGATGCGGCTGATCGGCGAGTTTGACAGTTGACTTACAATTTGAATTTTTAAATTATTCTTTTTAACATTGGTAAGTTGAAATAATTGTATTTTACTGCTAGTTAGGTGTCATCAATTGTTGCTAAAGTACCGATTTTGAGTGAAATTAGTTGAATTTTGTAGAGTGGTGTTTTAAATGTTGAGAATCGATAGCACAGCTTTTAATACACAGCCAGGATAGTAATGCAGCTATGTGTGTAGAGCTTTAATTAATGTGACGTCGCTTGTATTGCATTTCTGTACTGTGCGCGCATAGATGGCTACATGTACTGCATGCTGTATAGATAGATGGAGGCACCAGGAATGAGCGGAGCTTTAAAAGATCTATGTGACATTGCTTGTATTGCACTTCTGTGCAATTCATGGGGGCGTAGATAGATGGAGGCACCAGCAAACGCAACAGTACTTGTTGCTTATTTCAGTTATCTGTGAAAAGTTGCAGAGACCAGTACAGAAACTTTCACCCGCGGAACCATTTCTTTATACATGCTGAAGATATTGCTAATTTAATTATCCTCAATTTCAATTTGAAGAGTGTACATTCGCTGTACAGCGCAAGTACCGATATCTGTTGCCATCCTTTTTCATGAACTATTTTGAGGTTTTATATTTAATAATAATAATAATAATAGTTCGTCCTTATATAGCGCATTTCAGGACCGCAGGCCCTCTCAATGCGCTTTACAGATATATAATATTACCCTGGTCATCGGATTCATGCTTACCCGCACGCAAGGTATGCACATTCTCCACTCCCTGGGGAGTATTCCAGCGCCATTTTACAAGCGCCATTGCTAATCAAACCACATTAGCGTTCGCATCCTACCGGGTACCCATTTAACACCTGGGTGGAGAGTGGCAAATGTAGATCAATGTCTTGCCAAAGGACATTAATGCCGCGGTGGGACTTGAACCGCGGACCTTGTGATCCACAGTCCGCTGACATATCCACTCGACCACGACACCTTTTTCCCAGCCTTTAGAACAATCTGCAGTAATAACGAATGACACGTGGCATTTTTTCAGCCGGAGGCATGCAGCATCCTAAAGTTTTTAGATTTCAATTGATTTCCTTACTCAAATTATAATATAGATGCATTTGGAGATTCAGTCAAAATTGAAGTGTGTATAAGATTTACATTTTGATCAATAATCAATATCCAGCCTTTTTTCGAGTTTGATTGATTTGAAAAATATGTCAATTTTTTTGTATAGAGCCAATGTTAATAAAGGCTAGAATTGACAATACTGTACCATAGCAACAACCCTCCTGACTTACGGGTCGTGTGCACATGCAATCCAGAGTTATGAATACCTTATAAGCATGAGTAGCAGATGCTGATTCCTGGATATTATTAATTGCAGTGTTAATAGGAGAAGGACATATCAATGCAAGCAGGTTGGAAGCCCTATAAAGAATTGTATTACTTAATCATCCTCTTCATTGAAACTTTAGAGTGTTCTTTTTGTGAATAGACAGGAATTTAATTTGAAATTAAAATCTATTAATATCTTTTGAGAATCTTTTATTATTCCAATTATGTAATCAATAGAATTTGTGTAAAAGTAAGAGTGCAATGAAAAAAATTGTTGATAACACATATGCATCTATAGATCAGCCTAGTAACTATATCCACACACAATGCAGGTCCAGACTATCCGACTTGGTGTTTTCCTGTGTCCCACACCAGTCTCATCACATAACCTAGCAGAAGCACTGTGTTCTATGCCAGACCTGACCTATCTTTCACTCTATGGAGGGGATCTCACTGAGGTTTTCTACTCTACATTGGAATCAAAGGCATCATCCATACAGGTATGTGTGTCCTAATGTAAATTTCAAGTGGAATATTAAAGAACACAAAGTCCCTTGCACTCAAGAAGATATGGACGCACTGACCCCCTGTGCAATTCAATGCTTCCAACACTGGATTAGGACAATCTAAACAAGAGTGAACGTTGTGGCGTAGTGACTCAAGAAGAAGAAGAAGACCACGTATAATAATCATTTTAATGACTTTTTTGCCACAGCTACAACGTAGCCGGAGGCATTATGTTTTCTGGTTGTCCGTCCGTCTGTACGTACGTACGTATGTCTGTACGTCCCGTTCTCGTGATCAGGTTATCTCGAGAACAGATTGATGGATTACCGCCAAACTTGGGTCATGTATGTACCTTGCAGAGCTAATGAACTGATTAGATTTTGGGGTCAAAGGTCACAGGGTTCATTATGTATGCAAACATAACTTGTTTTCACGTTATCTCAAGAACAGATTGATGTAGTAACGCCAAACTTGGGGCGTGTATGTATCTTGCAGAGCAAATGAACTGATTAGATTTTTGGGGTCACAAGGTCAAAGGTCACAGGGCTTATTCGTGCAAAATAGCTTGTGATTACAGTATCATTAGAACTGATTGACGGATTACCAGCAAACTCGAGACATGTATGTATCTTGCTGAGCCAATGAACTGATTAGATGTTGGGGTCATGACGTCAAAGATCAACGGGTCATATATGTATATGAAAAATAGCTTATAATCACGATATTCTGAGAACCTGTTAATGGATTACGATTAAACTTTAATTTGACAAATTGCTTCTGTTTTGGTTTGTGAAATCGCTTTATGGCGGAGGCAACAAGTTCCATCTAGTTTGAATGATGTCAACCTTGACTTAAAAGACCCCTTCTCTCTGTCTCAATGTCACCTCTCCCCTTTCTTTTAATTCTCATTCCCACCTCTTCCCTTTCTCCTCTTTCTCATTCTCACCTCTTCTCTTTCTCATTCTCACCTCTTCCCTTTTTTGTAATGCTCTTGTATATTTGTGTGTGACTGTGGGTGTGTGCATATACATGGTTGATACCTGCTGTAGTAAATGGTTGATTTTCCCCCCTTTTAAAAATACATATATATACCTTGTAAGTTTTATTTCTTTTACAATTCAATTTAATATAATGTTTACCTTGATAGGGGCCTCATTTGCTAAGCACAAGTTGCTTCTTAGGGGGTCCTGGTCTGTTATGTATTTTGTATTTATAATTAGTAATTTAAAAATTTAAAGAATTTAAAACTATGCACGTGGAGATCAGTTGAAATATAAGTGAGCGTGTGATTTACATTGTTTTTATCAATAATTAATATCCAACCTTTTTCAAGTTTGAATGGTAGTACAAATAAGCCATATAGGTTTTAAAGAGCCAATTTTGATAAAGGCTTGAATTTACCTATCTGAACCATGGCAACAAACCTCCTGATTTAGGGGTCTTTTGCACATGAAATTGAGAGTTATGAATACCTTTATTACATTAAAAGCAAATGTATATTATTCATTTCAGTGTAAGTAGGAGTAGGACTTGTAAATGCTAACGGGTTGGAAGCTCTATAAAGAATACTTAAGGAAGTTTTAAAAATCACTCTTACTAAATAATCCTCTCCATAGAAACTTAATTGTGTAATTTTCAACAAAAGACAAGAACTGGATTTGAAAATTAAAATTATTCTATCATTTTAGTTGAGAATTTCATGATGAATGCAACTATGTAATTAATAGAATTGTTGTGAAATGTAAGAATACAGTGATAAATTAGTAAATAAAACATATGTATGTAAAGATTTTCTGCTTAAATACATTCACAAACAAAGCAGGTCCAGACTCTCGAGCTTGATGATGTTGAGTGTCCAACACCGGCCTCATCACATCACCTAGTAGAAGCACTGTGTTCTATGCCAAACCTGATTGACCTGAGGCTTAAAAGGAAAATCAATGACGAGCTCTGCTTTGCCTTGGAATCAAAGGCATCATCCATAAAGGTATGTGTATCCTAATGTAAATGTCATGGAAGGTCATTGAATGAAAGAAACAGCAGTAATAGTTTACTGGTGCACATGCATACATGTTTTTTTCTTCTTCCAAACACCCACTTTTAAAGGCCATTCATTCCTTTTAAAAAAGCCATTTGGTTCATTGGAACAGTCATGAAACATGGAATAAAAGCAAACTACACATGTTATGAATCAGTTGGATGTCAAGTGTGTATAAGGTTGACTTTTTTTTTATCAATAATCAATATCCAACCTATTTCAAGTTTGATTGATAGTAAAAAATAAAAGAATACATATAGATTTTTTTTTCAATCACTCTTACTAATCAGCCTCTCCGTAGAAACTTTAATGTTCTATTGTTCAATAGACATAAAATAATTTGGAAAATTAAAAATCAATTCATTCATTTTTGTAATTAATGGAATTTGTATAAAATGTAAGGATACAGTGAGAAATCACTAAATCAAATGTATGCATGAGTAACTTATCTATATACACCATGAATGCAGGTCCAGACTCTCAATCTTCACTTCATCGAGTCTCCTTCACCAGCCACATCACATAACCTAGTAGAAGCACTGTGTTCTATGCCAAACCTGACTGACCTGACACTGAAGAATCTCAACGAGGATTTCTACTCTATATTGAAAGAAAAGGCATCAATCATACAGGTATGTGTGTCCTCATGTCAATGTCATGGAGAGTCATTGATCGACAGAATCGGCAGTAATAGTTATATGGTGCACATGTGTATACTGGGGGTATGTTTTATTTTCTTCCAAACACCCACCTCACTTGGTATATTGCAACAATCATTAAACATGGAATGAAAACAAACTACACATGTACTGATACAGTTGAAAGTCAAGTTTGTATAAGATTGACATTGTTTTGATCATTAAACAATATCCAACCGTAGCCAAGTTTGCTTAATAGGAAAAAAATACATTGTTTTGTATTTTAAGAGCCAATTTTAATGAAGGCTTAAATTATCAAACTGAAAACCTCCTGACTTACGGATCTTTTGCACATAAAATGTAAAGTTATGAATACATTTAAAACTTTAATAGCAAAAGAAGATTTATGAGTATTGTTAATTTCAGTTTTATTAGGAGTTAGGACGTATCAATGCAAAAATGTAAGAAGCCCTTTAAAGAATACATACAGAATTTTTTTTGTAATCACTCTTACTAATCAGCCTCTCGATAGAAACTTTAATGGTCTTTTTTTTTCAATAGAAATCAAATGAATTTGAAAACTAAATCAATTCATTCATTTTTGTTGAGAATGTCATTATGAATTCAACTACGGTATGTAATGGATGGAATTTGTCTGAAATGTAAGGATACAATGAGAAGTAATTAAATAAAATGTTTGTTTGTATAGATGAGTTACCTAACTATAATACACCATGAATGCAGGTCAAGACTCTCGATCTTACTTTCATCGAGTCTACTTCACCAGCCTCATCACATCACCTAGTAGAAGCACTGTGTTCTATGCCAAATCTGACTGACCTGACACTTGGAAGTCTCAATGAGGAGTTCTACTCTACATTGAGTGCAAATGCATCATCCATACAGGTATGTGTGTCCTTATTTGAATGTCATGGAGGGCCATTGATCGACAGAAACAGCATTGATAGTTATATGGTGCACATGCATATTTATTTTTTTCTTCTTCTAAACTCTCACCTTTAAAAGCCATTCACTTGGTATATTGGAACAGTCATGAAATATGGAATGAAAGTAAACTATACATGTACTGATTCATTTGAAAGTCAAGTGTGTTTAAGATTGACATTGTGTTGATTAGTGAAGAATATCCAACCGTATCCAAGTTTGCTTAATAGGAAAAAATGCATATTGTATTTTAAGAGCCAATTTTAATGAAGGCTTAAATTTATCAAACTGAAAAACTTCCTGACTTACGGATCTTGTGTATATAAAATGTAAAGTTATGAGTACATTTAAAACTTGAATGAAGATTTATGGTTATTATCAATTTCAGTGTTATCAGGAGTAGGACGTATCAATGCAAAAATGGAAGAAGCCCTTTAAAGAATACATACAGAATTTTTGTAAATCACTCTTACTAATCAAATTCTCCATAGAAACTTTAATGTTCTTTTGTTCAATAGACATAAAATAAATTGGAAACCTAAAAATCAATTCATTCATTTTTGTAATTAATGGAATTTGTATGAAATGTAAGGATACAGTGAGAAATCAGTAAATCAAATGTATGCATGTATAGATGAGTAACTTAACTATATACACCATGAATGCAGGTCCAGACTCTCAATCTTCACTTCATCGAGTCTCCTTCACCAGCCACATCACATAACCTAGTAGAAGCACTGTGTTCTATGCCAAACCTGACTGACCTGACACTCGTTGGAGAGGTATTCACTGAGGAGTTCTTCTCTACATTGAAAGAAAAGGCATCAGTCATACAGGTATGTGTGTCCTCATGTCAATGTCATGGAGAGTCATTGATTGATAGAATCGGCAGTAATAGTTATATGGTGCACATGTGTATACCGGGGCTATGTTTTATTTTTTTCCAAACACCCACTTCACTTGTATTATTGCAACAATCATTAAACATGGAATAAAAGCAAACTACACATGTACTGATACAGTTGAAAGTCAAGTTTGTATAAGATTGACATTGTTTTGATCATTAAACAATATCCAACCGTAGCCAAGTTTGCTTAATAGGAAAAAAATACATATTGTATTTTAAGAGCCAATTTTAATGAAGGCTTAAATTATCAAACTGAAAACCTCCTGACTTACGGATCTTTTGCACATAAAATGTAAAGTTATGAATACATTTAAAACTTTAATAGCAAAGGAAGATTTATGGGTATTATTAATTTCAGTGTTATTATGAATAGGACCTATCAATGCAAAAATGTAAGAAGCCCTTTAAAGAATACATACAGAATTTTTTTTTATCACTCTTACAAATCAGCCTCTCCATAGAAACTTTAATGGTCTTTTTTCATTAGAAATCAAATGAATTTGAAAACTAAATCAATTCATTCATTTTTGTTGAGAATGTCATTATGAATGCAACTATGTAATGGATGGAATTTGTCTGAAATGTAAGGATACAGTGAGAAGTAAGTAAATAAAATGTTTGTATAGATGAGTTACCTAACTATAATACACCATGAATGCAGGTCAAGACTCTCAATCTTTACTTCATCGAGGCTCCTTCACCAGCCTCATCACATCACCTAGTAGAAGCACTGTGTTCTATGCCAAACCTGAGTAACCTGGTACTTAGTAGGAATCTCATTGAGGAGTTCTACTCTACATTGAGAGCAAAGGCATCATCCATACAGGTATGTGTGTACTTATGTCACAGAGAGGGTCATTAAAAGAAAGAAAGAGCAGTGATTCTATGGTGCCCATATATATATATTTTTTTATTCTTTTAATTTTTTTTCTTCAACAAAGTTACTAAAATCACGAAAGCTGTGCAAATATCCACTTGGTATTTTGGTCAATTGATTGTGACAGAGTTACAGACAACTCTCCTGTTTGACATGTAAAAAAATATGAAATAACTGTTTTAATCCTAAGCACGTTTTCTGTTGGGGAACTACTCAAAATAATTGTGGATAGCGTATTGTTAAAGCCTCTCTAAAAAGAAACTCTGAAGTCATAGAATTTGATATGTAATTTGTCATTAAAAATATATTTAACTGTGACAAGAAAGAAAATAAAACAAATACAAATTTACTACCTGAAAATGAGGTGGCAGTGCCTGAATATGGTGAATTAAAGCTTCCAGGGGTGGTGTGGGGGATGGGAAGGAGGAAGTGGTTTCAGATCCCCCCTTCCCACAGAGAGCAAGCAGAAATGATGAGACTTTCATTCAGTTATGATGTTTTCCATACATGTATGATGTATACAATTCAAGCAGAAAAAAGGAACTAGCCTTTTATTTCTAAACTCAAGTGAGCTATTGCTGTGATTATTGTTTTTTAAGGTCCATATACTTTTTACATTTATAACTTGTTCTCGGAAAACATGTGGCAATATATAAACAATACTTGGTAGGAATCACCTGCAGGAAATGGAAATCTAAAGTTGTTCAAATGGGTATATGCCCTAACCCCAAAGTGCCCATATGGCAATAGTTTTACATTTTATACTGTTTGTAAAGAGGATGGGAGCTAGGTTCCTTATTGTGAGGCCCCTAATTTCATCGGCTCAGGTGTGCGTAAGTTCCGTGGACCTCTTGTTTTTAACGTGATATTTATGCCAGGATGTATACAATTGTGGGCTGCTACTTAAGAACATTATAGTAGTGATATACTAATGTCTTAGCATAGTACTTTCAACCTTGTTTTCACCTTCTGTAGCTTGCCCCTTTCTGTTAGTTCTCCCTTCATTTCGAAGGATGTTCCTGGGAGTAGTTGCCCTGGGGGATTCATGGTCCAGGGGTTAACTGTCCAGGGAGTATTTACCCTGGGAGGTGATTGTCCATGGGTTGTCCTAGGGTAGTTGTACTGGGAGTAGTTGCCCTGGGAGGTGATTGTCCAGGGGGTAATTATACTGGGAGTAATTTCCCTGGGGTAATTTTCCATCGGGATAAATGTCCCGGGGGTTCGATCAGTCTAGGACGTAATTGTCCCGAGGCTGATTGTCCTTGAGGTACTGTGTATAAGCAGTAATTATCGTGGGGATTTAATATTGTGCATTTCACAAACACTCATTATTTGCAAATTTAACAATGTGTGCAAAATATTTCCAGCAAGAAATGTGGCGTGTCAAAATCACTAACATAAGCCTAGTTGAATGTCATAAATCGTGTTTATGCACTTTCAAAGTTGGGGGGGGGGGACCAACCACCCCTATAATGTGATTACATTATCAGGAATGATTTCAATATTTACTTCTTTGTTTCCATGATACAAGACACTGCTTTAGAATCATACTTTGCAGTTGGGTGTGATGGTCTGAATATTAATTTGAAATTTTGAAATTTGTGAGGTTGCAGTGCAAAAATTCCATCTTATAAAGAGGAAAAAACTATCCTGATTGGTTAGTAAGAACAATGTAATCATGAAAGACAGAAAAGACCTTTGATAAGAAACATAATTACATCAACTAAAAATGAGCGCGAGGGGGAAAATTAAAGAATAAGTTGCTCTTAGTTGTTTTAAATTAGGGGCATATTTTATGGTAAAAGGCAAAGAAGACACTTTTCAAAAAGGATAAAGAAACATTTTAGAAAAGAAAAGGTGAACGTGTCAATGTAAAAGGGTAATAATCAGTGGTGAAAATGTGGCACTTCTCACACCTGAAAAGTGGCATTCACCAGTGATGAAAAAGACACTTATGAGAATACATACCTGACAACCCTTACGAATAATCTGAAATTTTACGTTTTTCTGGATTTCTAGGACCCGAAAATCCGTTGAATGGCTGCATGATCGGGCAGCGAATTTGTATTCGCTTTTTGGTACAGATTTACCGCGTATTGCCAGTTATGCTGCCGCTGCAAGTGCGATTTCTTTTTTTCGAAGGCATACCGTGCTAATAATTCCTAATTCTTACTTTCAAATGTTAGGCAGGTATGAGAATAGAAAGTGGGCACTAAGTTTTATAGGAAAAGGGGCACCTATCAGATGTTGATAGGGGCAATTTTCAGAGGTGAAGGGGGCATTTATCTCAAGTGAAAAGGGGCATTTCTCCTACCTGTTAAGGGGCACTTATGAGAATGGAAAATGGACACTTATTGCAAAGAGAAAAGGGAACTTGTTGAAGGAAAAAGGGCACGTGTCAAAATAAAAGGGGTACTTATCAGAGGTGAAAAGAGGCACTTATTAAAAGGGGAAGTAGCACTTCTAACAAAGGAAAGGGGGGCATTTTTGGGGTACTCCCCCCCCCCCCCCTCTGAAGCTGCCTCTGTATGACCACATTATGATGGGGCACTTCAATTAATTATTTTTATTCTTTTTTCCAGAAATGTTTATCTACTGCGCAAAATTGCTCTTACTCTACCTATTTTTAATTCTCCATACTTCTTTTTGTTCTTCTTATTTTCAGTTTATCTTAATCTAAATGTAGCTATTCAGTGTATATTCCCAAGAAAATAGATTATATACGAGAATGAAATAAATCCAATTTCTTGAAACTAATACAAGGTTTACAAGCAATTTTGCTGTTATATATTACAGGGTTGTTTTCCTCAGATCAGGAATGGAAACTTCACGCTCAATGGAGAAGCTCAAGATGACTTGAACTCATTTCTTCACACCCTCACTTGTTTGCAGAGGTTAGTAAAGTATATATGATTTTAAAATAACTCAGATAACAGCATTTAGACTTTTCATGAATAGTGCAATACAGAAACAATATAAGGATACTATAATGGAATGCTAAGAAAAAATACAATGCGGATACCGCTCAGGAAGCATGCATAAAGTGATACTGTGTATCTTGAAATAACTTAAGATTTCTTGTCGTACAAACTAAATATTCAGTAACAGCTTTCTTGAACAATTTCCCTACTGTAAAGTGCTTTCAACCTTCGATTTGTAAATTCTTTTGTGTTTCTGTTGTTTTGTGTATGTTTTCTTGATATTTTTGTTACACTGTAGTGGTAAGAAGAGTGAAGTTCCTTCTACTCAGTCAAGAGCTCCATTGGATGATCCTGGAATTCCAGAGAAGCGACCAAAGTATGACGTCTAGTTGCTATGGTACCGGTAGAGTAAGAGGTCCACTTCATCTTGATTTATATATGTATGATACAGGGCTCCACACTAGCTTTTTCTTTTGGAAAAGAGGTTCAGATTTTAACTGTTTACAGTCTGCATGCATAAGCGTTCAGGAGGTCCTGACCTAGATCCTGGGCATCCATGTGTCCAGCTAGCCTGGTTACCTTTGAGCCCCGGACTGAAATTTGGGGTAAAAGGGGATAATTCTGTGATGTTGAAAACATGAATATTCGTAATATTTTTTTTTTACCTTGATGGGTACAGTCCACTGGTGATATTGCATCGTCCAAGAGCCGCGATTTTGCGGGCTATTTTGAACCCCCGTAAGTGTTTTCCTGGTATATCTACTAACAAAATGGAGACCATAACAAGCAGTGAATGATAACTTCTTTTTAAATCAAGTAACAGTTTAATACACATTTATATCCAGAGTTATCATGTGTTTGGTCAAGTTACCAGATGAGTTGAATATCTTCTCGCAATATTTGCACTTGAAAGGTTTCTCTCCAGTGTGCATTTTTTTTTTTTGGCGGCCCAGGGGGGGGGGGGGGGGTTAAACCCTCTAACCCCCCCTTTACCATTTTCATTTTAGGTGATTTGCATGCAAAGTATGGAATACCACTCAACTTTCACTAAGTGAGCTATGAGGTTAAGTATGTAATATTTCAAATTATCTTATCAAAATGTCAATGTATATGTCAATGACATCGCACATGTTCAATACTAAAATATGATTAAGTAAAAATCTAAAATAGCTTGTGAATTTGTTACCAGAAATGACCCAGATGTTTAAGCCATATTGCCCTAATTATCATCTCAGCTAGCTTGATAGAACTCGGTATACTTGAGAACTAGCTTTGTCTGGTAAGGGTGTATGTCATAGGCCTGACTAATATCATTGTAACATTTTATCTGACATGGATTATTGTTTGTAAATTTAGAGATATATTCAGTTCTAGATTTTAAAATCCATCTGAGGAAATAATTTCCAGGATTTTCTTTACATCAGTCAAGGGTATATGTAAATATGCTGCTATAATTTTAAGATACGTGTCTCTTTTGTCAATGTAACATGCTTGAGTTATCAGTGTAATATTTAATTTGACGTAGTTATTATTTTTATATGTTTATACATTCGCCAGTACTATATACTAATTCCATTTGAGGAAATATTTTCCAGGATTTTCTTGTCATCATTCCAATGTACATTTTTATATGCTTCTATAATTGTACGATACATATTTATTCTAATTGTATTCAGTACTGGATTTAAATAATGTTCATGATACATATTCCAGTCTTTTCTTCGCATCATTATGATTATGATTCTGTAATGGTATAATACATGTATATTTTGAACTTATATATGTTTGCCATACATACTTGCCTTGTAAATAAGTTTCATATTTTAGTAAGTTTGCATTCCTGATTGGCTTTAAATATAACAAACAAACGTAGACACCATTACACTACTCTTATGAGCATTTCGTTACCTTGCCTTTTGATCACCATCCTTTTCTGATTAAGTGATGTCATTTTTATAATCCACTCTGATTTTCATAATAGACAATGCAAATTGCTCAGATCTTTGAGTTTATTCTGAAATATGTCATGCAAAAGGATGAACTAAACAGGTCTTTCTATCAGTGAAAAAATACATGAGGGTTCGGGGCGAAATAGCCCTCGTAATGCCCAAAAGAGCCCCCGAAAATCAGAAAAGAGCCCCCGAAAATTTGCATAGAGTTCAATGCAAAACAAATTTTAGAATGTTATATTCAATGCAGGCAAGTTTGAAAAGTAGCCCCCGAAAAATAAATATTATTTTCCCCCTGCTTTCTATGTATATATTGGATGATCATGAAAATAATACTGAAATGAAGTTTGCAGTGCCTTAGATATTGATTGCAACGTTTTGATGTACGAAGGAGACAAAAGAACTTGCAAGTTGTAGTTTGATGATGGTGTATTAATTTGTTAGTAAATATCCTACTTATTGAAACGGTATCACGTGACACACAACATTTTATTTGCAATATTACAGCCTTATTTTGCATGATATAACGAGTTCAAAAGTGTTTGCATTGAATTGTTTGCACTGTCTCAACTGCACGCATCTGACCCAAAAGGTTCGCAAATACCCACAATTTTATATAAGAAATATTGCATGCATTTCATTGTTCAGCGTAACATGTATTCATCTCCAAATTCAGAATTCCCCTTGTGCCGTTATATTTCAACCTCAGCCTATGGCTTCAGTGAAATATAAAATCACTTGGCAATTTTAAATTGTTCGGTTCATATACATACATGTATACATAATATATTAGTAATCTATGTAAATGCGATTACTTAATGAAGATGCAATGATATGATAATTTCCTCTGTCATTTAATTAGATATAGATTTTTTTTTTTTAAATTCTAGCACCTGTTTTCCTACATTCTCAAAAAAAAAAGATGATGAAGACTTTAAGTACTTTCATGAAAATGTCAGGTTGATAGTAACTCTCATACATGTATTTTTTGGGGATAGATGGGGGCTAGCAATATCTTCCTGTTATTGAGAACTGTATTCCTCCTGAAATATCCTCATGCAAGTCCTAAACATTATTTAACTTGAAACTTGAAGCAGCATCTTATATCTAAATATCATTGATTCTTGTACCAATATTCATATTATACAACATTACCTATATTGTTTTCAAACTTATGATTTTGTAATTTTCATTTGTATTACCTGCCATGAATGATGTCCCTGTCATGTTTTGTCATGTATGTTTCTTTTTTAGTTTGTTTGTATATATACATTTTTTAACTACTGTTCGGGGAACTATGCCTCCACAAGGCCATTTGGACTTTTTTTTTTAGTTCCCTATTTTTATTTTCTTATATACTGCAAATGCTTATCATTGTATATATCTTTTTATTATTTTTTTTTATTGAAAATAGAAATGAATAAAACGAATTGAATTGAATTGAATATACATCTGCTGCACCAATATTTTGTACGTCATAAAAGGCCATCTTCGTACTGTAACCAAATTTATACTTTAGTGCCTCGATACAAATTATTTCATTCACCTGTTACAAATAATTGTATTTCAATAGAATGGAAATAGCATATGTTACGTGTTGTTAGGTAGGGCAAGCCATAATGTTTGTCCTACCTAGCAACAACTAATGTATTCATTTGAATTCTGACTATTGAAATACATTGATTCTTAACAGGTGAATGAAATAATTCGTATCAAGGCGCTTCACAAAGGCATATGCATACATTTGGTGTACATGACAGAAATGGCCTATTGATGTGTTTGTCATGAGCAGTCATGATTCTAAATTGATTAAAAAAGGAAGATTTAAATTATCAATCTCTGATCTCTTTGTCTGATGTGAAATCTAGGATAGACATGGGGAGACGAAGAGAGAGAGAGAGAGAGAGGGAGTGGGGAGGGGCTAGGGAGGGAGAGAGAGAGGGAGAGAAGAGAGAAACGGACCCACACATTTAAACTTAGAAGGGAGGAAGCAAGAAAAACAAAAATATAGAGGAGCAGAAAAGGGAGATGCTAAAAAAAACAAAAAACGGGGAATTTAAAAAGATAAGAGAGAGAGAGAAGATCAATAAAAGGGGAATTCAACAGAAAATATTAGCAAAAGACAGAGCATAGGAAACGGTGATAGCTAGATGACTTTGAAGGGTGACCGAATGAGAAGAAAGAGAAAAAGCTAGGGAGGGTGAGGCACAAAGGAAATGGGGAGATGTGACAGAGACAGACATACATCAATATTGATGAAGAGAGATATGAAGAAAGGATGACGAAGGAAGAGAGGGTGGGGGCAAAATAGAGAGAGATGCCTGTCTGTAGAAATGAGTGAAATTTGGGAGGGATGATAGAGTGGAGGGGGGGGGGGGGGGGTAGTGAACGAGCATGAAAAACGGCAAACGGGTGATAAAAGAGATAATAAACATTCATGATATAGAGGAAAGAGGAATAAAGGAATGTAAGTGAGAGGAGCAGAAATAAGGGAGATATACCGGAACAAAAATAAACAGAAATATGGAGGAATGGGACATGAGCTAGAGAGAGAGAGAGAGACAATAAGGGTGGTAAAGAGAGAATTGAAAGCTTGGGAGGAAGAGAGAGAGAGAGAGAGAGAACAAATTAGTGAGAGAGACCATGATAACTTAATGGAAATGGGAAGAGAGAGAGAGAAAGAGAAAGAGGGAGAGCAAACGAAAAAGAGACATAAAAGCAATCAGTGGCATTATCTAGTAAATTATATTTTTTCTTTCATCTTTATCCCTCAAAAACGCATTTTTAAAATCAATTTTTTTTCATTGAAAATGTCACTAACTGGTAGCCTTCCCACAGATCTTCAAAAAAAAGGTTGCATATAAAAACATAGCCCTTTGAAGATAAACATAAGAAATGGAAGAAGAAGAGCACTGCAACCATAGTCGTTTACGGCCATATTTTCACGAGGGGAGGTTGAGGGCTCTTGCCACCAAAAGAGTAACTTCCTTTTTGCGGGTGGGGGGGGGGGGGGTTGCATTCATTTTCTACACGTATCTAGCGATTTTTTTTATTGTTATTTATTGTTAGGGGGGCTTGAGCCCCAAACCCCTCGAGAACCGCTACTAATATTACTGCGTAATCCCAGGAAACCTACTAGCTCTGCTAAGAGTGCATAGATGAATACCTCAATTCATTATGCAACTAAACAAAGTTACTAACACTATATTCCCCACCTTATTTTTTAGGAAAAAAACCCAGAACTGTTCCGACAAATAATATTTCCCTAATTCTGAGATTTATGTAATTTAAAAATAGTTCAAGTATTCATGAAAGGAAAATGACACCCAGCCAAATCTAGCTGACAGCTTTGTTACAAAGATTATGAGGCAGTTACAATTATCTTGAACTTACTAATAATTGATTACTTAGAAATGAAAACAATCGCTCCACATTTTGCAGCTTCCTTCCAAGCCATTATTGGGTTAGGTCGCCATTTTTATTGAAATAATAATGTTAGAGTAGTACAAGGCTTGTGAGATACCCACTGACCTGTATTTTAGTTACAGTGTAGCACATTTACCTGTGAAATGTATGACAATGGTTTCCTAATATAAACTGTTTTTGTAATGCATTTGAATGAATGGCTGTTCTCTCATAACGTAAGGTCACACGCTATTTGGTTCAGCTGTTTTAAACAGTTGATCAGTTTCTTTTGTTAAACATGTATGTGGCATATGT